AGAGTGAACCAATACTTTTTTTTAAAGTTTGTTTTATATATAATCCCTCTTGCCTTATCAACCTCACACTAGTTAAACTAGTGACTGGTTTACTCCTGAAGCAAGCCAAAGCTGAGGTAACTGTTATCCAGCTGCAGTAAGTCCTGAAGAATTCCACCACACTAGTAGAATCTTCAGGCAAAACCATGACCTTTGTTAATGCTTCAGAATTTGAGAATTCAGTAATTATAGCAAACTTCTGTTTTTTTTATTTAAAGGTCTATCTCATTTGGTAGCAGCCTCCTTTACTGAAGACCAATTTGGAGTTGTCCAAACTACACTGCCAGCTATCCTGAATACTTTACTGACTCTTCAGGAGGTAAAAACCATTAACATTTCCTTACAGCAGAACAATTCAAGGAGAAGAGAAGGAGTTTTGTTAATGTTATATTTTGACCTTGCTGACCAGTCATAACATTCAAGTAGTTACCAGTGTACATGGCTTCTCCTCTGCGGTTAAATGAAACAAAACAGCTAGTTGCCATTGTGTGCATTATGAAACAGCTGAATAAAAACCTTGTTAGTTTTTTAAAATGTAGAGGTAGAAAGTGTATTTTTAATGGAATATGTAATTTAAAAAAAAATGGTACTGGGTGCTCAGTTAAAAAGGCTTTATTTCAGGGATGCAGTAATTATAATACTGTATTTTAGGCATAGTTACAGAACTTGGTTCTGTGTTTATGTTGATGGCCAGGAAATGCAAGGCCAAGCTCAGTCTCCTATACATTTTTGTGTGTTTCAGTGGAGTTTCTGAACTTGCACTTTCTTTGTGCTTTATTTGACATAAACACGTTGCTAGTTACATGATGAAATAATTGAATAGATGAAACAAGTTCATTTATGTTTTTTCTCAATCAGGTTGTAGACAGACATTTCAAACTGCCTCATGTTTCTAGCAAACCCCCCAGGATTTCAGGAAGTCTGGTGGACACATCCTACAAAACACTACGATTTGCACTTAGAGCATCTCTGAAAACAGCACTATACCGGATAACTACTGTCTTCGGAGAACACTTAAAGTAAGAACATTTTCGTGCTTGCTTGCTTCCTATGTTTAGTTTTAATCTTATTGTAGGTCCTGTGAAAAGGGAATTTTGTGCAAAACTACCTTTGGGTCATTAATCTAGCATGGTATTTTAATATTTTTTGATTTGTGGAACCTTAAAAAATTCTTGTGTAGATATATAGTCCCCTTTAGAAACTTATTATTCATAGATTTCTGGGCAATTTTCCTTAGTGAGTTTTCATGAACTCTTTAGAAACAGTCTGTGAATACCACTTGTTTAATAAATCTCAGCTATTGAAAAGAAAGCAAATCAACTAGAGACAATTGTCTGTTGTGTAGGGAGGGAATCCTGAGAATCCTATGAAGAGTCCAAATAATGAAATTCCCTTGCTTCTTGGTTGTCCGATGGCTCGCTCTCAGCTGCTGTCACAGCAGGCAGACTTTCATACTTGGCCTCTGAACATGTGGGACTGAAACTTCTTGCAGGATCTGCCCGTCTCTCCCTGTGGGGGTGAATCTCACTCAGTTTGGAAGTGCTAGATGTATAGGAGAAATCATTTTAAGAGATTCTTTCTTGCCTAAATCATTCTTGCAAGTTAAATAATTGCTTGTGTGTGCTTAAAGGTAAGGAATTAGGCTCGGTTTCTGGGACAAGTGTCTAGTAGTGGACACTGTTGAGGTGAAGAATTGACAGTTTTAAGAGTTAATATACTTTTTTGTCTTTTTATTGGAACCTAGATTTTTTTATACAGCTGGGTTTTCTACAATTTAGCTTCAGAGTAATTGTTGATTTCAAGGTATACTTAATTTTGACATGAGGCTTTATTTTTGTAGTGTGTTACATTTCATGTAAATTCTTATGTTCTGCATTTGTTGTTTTTAGTGCAGTGCAGGTGTCTACAGAACATAAGAAAAGACTTCAGCAATTCCTGGAATACAAAGAATAAATAACAGATTTTGATGCAGCTACGTTTTGGGGTTTTTTTTCAACACTCTTGGTAAGAAGAAAGTGGGACTAATCAGCCTTTTTATCTTGGCTTTTTGGAAAAGCGTATGGAAGTACAAGTCGGAGAACAAAACTTCTAGAACTGTAGAAGAGCTCTTCTGGGTTTGGATTATCTTTTGTATAATAAAACTTTTTTTTAAAATTCATCTTGCCGCCTTTTAATATCATTTACAAATGAGAAAGTGTCAGTTCTTATTTTACATAAGACTATGACATTTGAGTTTTTCAGTTACTTTGCCACTCAGATCCTTCACTGTTTTTATTCTTTCCCTCCCCTTTTCTGTTAAAGGGCTGAGTGGAGATTTACATAGATACTTAGTGTGCCTAAGTGTTTCATAAATTTAGTTGATAACACTTTTAGTGCAGATGAAGTGTGTACTTTAGGAGTAGGAAACAGATGTGCCCAGGAATAAAACATGCTAAACATGCTATTCTTCTCAAAGATGGAAATATTCCTTCACAGTGGAATGGGTGTGTAGAACGGTGTTGTTAAGACACAAATACTGCTTGAAAACTTAGCAGCTTGGATTTTATCTTTAAGGTGACCTAGGAAGCTAAGTTTTTATCTACACTGAAACATATAGGAAACGTTACAGCATTTAGTAAAACTCCCAGTAACGATATTGTGAATTAAAGTTTGGATCAACAGCTTTCTGTTAAGGTGGATAGGAAGGGTGTTTGCAGCATATCCAACTTTTTCAAAATAATATACATTATTGGCAGCTTCTGGTGAAAATGATGACTTTTAAAAAATGCTTTTTAAAACTTATCTGGAAGTAAACCTGCCCAAATTGTTTGAAAATTAACTACCCAATTTTTAAACTAACCAGTTATTGTGATATCTAGGCTAGAAAATGTACAGAGTATGAACCGCTTAGGCCTAGCTGCAGTACCTCACTGTAATTTCCTTGAGATAACAGTAAGCTAAACGGTCTTACAAATGAATTTAGTGTGATAAGGGGAAACAAAATTTGGATGATTTTCTTTCCACTCTCTTCAGTGCTGTTAGTCCTATGGGGTTGGGTTTTTTTGGACTTCAGATCTCATGATGGCCACAGTGTCAGTTATGTTGGTGTGATGAAATGATCGGCTGATAGCGGTTGTGTAGTAATAATTCTTCAGGGAGCCTTTAGGTGAAAGAAGAACCCCAAATCTACAATAAGACCTGCCTATTGCTTGCTTCAGTAGAGACACATAATTTTCTTGTAACACAGGTGCACTGCATGTGTTAGATGTGATAGTGCAAATTAGGACTATATTGTTCCTCTTGCATTGAGATGGCTTACAGCAAACTCCGTAAAGTGATGGACAGCCTTTCATTATATTTAAAGGCTAAGCACAAAGTCTTTTAAAGCTTCCCCAAGCTTAACTTCTGCCACAGGTTTGACTTATGTCAAAGCCTCTTGCCTGTCTGGCTTATTTAATAATTTAATTTACTTATTTTCTGGTGTTGCAATGTGCACCTGGAGTTAAAATGGTGCTTTAATACCTCGGGTGTAACTGTTGACCCAAATACTTCAGCCAAAAGTTTCAAATAAATTTTTCATGCATTTAAACAGGTGCAGAATATTTTGGGTTTGTTTTTTTGTTTTTTATTGCTCTGGTATTTTCTGCAACACTCCCACAACTATAAGCTGCAAGTTGTAATTAACAGTGTTACGGCTGTCAGCAGCAGGCTTAAAATGTAGCTGCCTTTTTGATGCCAAAGTGCTTGGGGTCTGTCCTCCTTGTGTTGCAGTAGAGATTTGCACACGACATCTGCTAATGTGCATGTGATTCATGGCATTCTCTGGGTATGACAGAAGAGTTTCCAAAGCTGATTGCTTTGTGGTTTTTTTAAAAGCTCCAGTTCTTAAAGAGCTGTAGACTTTTATATTTTTTGAGCCTTTACTTAAAAGTGCATCTTTAACAGTATCTCATGCTCATGACCGTAAGTGTGCAAGAATATGAAGTGCATGTTGGGTGCCCTCTGAAGATGCAGTAACTGGCTCACACAATCAAGCAGGAATAACATCTTAATCTAGTTTTGGCTTTGGGAATAATTATGTTCCTCTGGCAAACTGTGCTGGTGTTTCAAGTCTTTTTATACACTTCTTTCTTAACATAATCAGTCTGGGAAGAGTTGAGTTCATTTCTGCATTCTGGGTAATGAGTAAAAAAATAAAGCCTTTTTACAGTTGGTTTCTATGTATCTGCAGTTAAATGGGATCCCTCAAGTCTGATAATATTTCTCATCTGTTTAATCATCTCAAAGCTGAGCTGCATCTTCTTGCTGGATTGCCTACCGCATGCACATGCAAAACAGAGCATTCGGTTTGCTTGCTGTTCTGGTAACCTGGTGAACTACCTGCCTCTCCCTACAGGTTAGCTGTAGTACGAGTATCTGCAACGATTTCCACTGCAGCTGCAGAGGTATACTGTTGATTGTTCAGATCTGTTTTCCTGTTAGAATGGAATAATGAAATAGAGGCTTTGGCTCTTAAGCAGTCTCTTGTAAACATGAAAAAAAAACCCTCTATCTTGCTTCATTTTCTGAGATACAGCTTTGAAAATTCAGACTGTGGGTGGACAGCGTGGTGACCCTAGTCCTCGAAACTACTGCACACTGCTGTACCCGAGGGAGCCAGCCAGGACTTGCTCCCTCAACAGGAGCACTTTGCCACTTTGGAGAATTGTCTTGATGCCAATTGCAGCTCAGGGCCTGAATGCACCCTTGAACTGAAGTGGTTTCGATTCTGTTGCTGCTTACTTTGAACAGAGGCTGTATTGTGTGTACCGCACTCAGTGTCTTTAGGCCCTGAGCAGCCACCTTCCCACCTACCGAGATACACGTATGGCTCCGAGGGCGAGGCAAGCACCCCTGCAGATGCATCCAGCTGCAGCTATGGAAGTATCAGCCTCTCACTGCTGAATCTGCTGGTACCTGTTCAGTCACAGGCAAGTGGTGCAGTCTGACCTCCCCCTATAGCGACAAACTGGCCACGTGCGGGATCCCGTACTCTGCCTGGGGAGGAGGCCCTGACGCTTTGGGGAATTTGGGGGGTGTGTGACAAAGGGCTGGGTGGAATCATCACAGATGCTGCAAGCTGAGGACCCTCCCCACTACCTACACACCCTCCTCCCCCTGGGGTCTTGATATTTCCCATCACCAGGACTGTGTTAACATACTTGCTATGTGGATCAAATGCGTTTGGGTGCTATGGGCATACCTGGAGGGTGGTTTCCAAGCTCTTAACGTTGTTAAGGGGATGCTCTCACAGCAGAACATTGCTTCCCTTCACTGCAGGCTCACGGTAGAGAGTCGCATCTGGCATATCAGCTCCCCTATGTCTGAGAAAACAGCCTGCGAGAGAGCAAAACCTACATTCTACTCTGATTTCAGAGGACAAAAAATAAATTAGATAAGACCTCACCTTTCTGCCCTCACAAAAATCTTGGGACTACAGTAGAGCTGTCAGGAGATAAACGTGGTGTCTCTCGAGCCTGCCATGAGATCAAAACCACAAATTCAAGGGGGAATAGTTCCCTGAGTGGCCTACACTAGCTGATTATTCTAATAGGTGGTGATGGGATAGGAGTTCTCTTTTTTTTTTTTTTTTTTTAATCCCCCTAAAGAGTCAGTTCCAGAAGTAGGATGAATTTCAGAGAAAACTATGGCCTAGGAAGCACATGTATGTGTTCACGCAATCAGCAGAAGAACCAAGTGCTGAGTCAATAGTGAGCTCTTCTCCCTCCCCTGCTCAAAACACATACAAAATACAGGCTTTGCCTTTTGCTCCTTGAATAACTCGACTTTTAAATCTGACAACTAAACCATGGATGCTGGGGCAGGCTGTTGTATTTAACTGCATCTTGTCTGAAAAGGTATGGTGAGAGCCCTGGAGTGAATTTTGAAGGAATTAGGAGTGGGAATATGTAGTCTTCTGTGAGTCAAAGACTGTTATAGATTATGTGTAAGCATCATTCTGTGCTCTCACTCAGCAAGCTCCAGCTCTGGGCTGTTAGATGTTTCAGATCAAGACTGAGTGACTACCTTCAGGGCAAGCTTTGAGGCCCAGGTAGATGCGTCACCAGCTTTGCAAACCACTGGGTTCCCTGTCCGGTTACCAGCAGAGGTCACTGCTCAAAGCAGGTCTGGGGAAGCACTAGGCTGTGCGTGGACCTTCGGTGTACAAAGTTTTGGGTTGAGCACAGGGCTGCAGCTCGATGTTAGGTACTGAGGGGGTTGTCGCTTTTGCAGACACTGGCAGTCAGGTCTGGAGAGGGCTTTACCAGCAACCACAAAGAGCGTTGTAGGAAGAGAAAGGCCAGTCTCACGGTTAGTGCAAGCTGAATACTGCCAAAGAGAAGTGGTTTGTCCTTGCCTTTATCACCAAGATCCTGTGCAGCACTTCAGCTCTTCACGGGTGGTCGCTCTTTGCAAGTCTCCCAGTTTCTGCACGCTCCGTTTGGGACACCAAGGGTTGAGCTTAACTGATGGAACTGGAAATGTGCTTTACCATATACAATGATGGGAAATGCTACATAACCTGGAGTGAGGGGTGGGGGAAGCAGTCAGTCTTTGTCACAAGTTTAGCGCTCAAACTGAACCTTTGGCTTCTGGACCTCTGTTGTAAAATGGGGCTTAGTCTAACCCCACCCTCCCTCACCTCCAATGATAAAACCAAAATATTTCTTTGCAAATTGGTAGGCTGCTGCAGTGATGGACACCAAAGAAATGCGCTGGAGTAAATCAATAATTCTGTATTCTGCACAGGGCTCAGCTGATGTGAAATAAATATATTCAATGTGTGGTCCAGACACTATGTCAATAAAGACAAAACAGAAGAGCGACTAGCTGCTCATTCTGCAATTGCTATCTTCAGTGTATTGAATATATAGATCCCCAGGCAAAATAACTGTGGGGCCATGTTATAACGCCAGTAGTATAACTCATTTATACTAGGCGTGAATCGAGGCTGTACCAGCAATTCTAGTCCTGGCATGTCCCAGTGCTGAGGATTGGATTTTACAAGCTGAACATTCTTAAGTTGTGCTGTCCTGGGTTTGCTTGTTTGTTTGTTTGTTTATGACTTAAGTTTATTTTACTGCTTGTGTTGTGCATGAATGGTGTGAGAGATGAATCTATTTATGGATTGATGCAGAG